ATTTTATGTGTATGCATGTATTGCCTGCATGTAGGTAAGTGTACCTGTGTCGTGCAATGCCTGTGGAGGTCAGAAGAGGCTGTCAGATCTCCTGGGACTGCAGTTACAGACAGTTGTTAGCTGCCATGTGGGTGCTGGGATTCGAACCCGGGTCTTCTGCAAGAACAACCAGTGTTCTTAACTTCTGAGCCATCTCTCTAGCCCCAAGTCCTATTTTTTAAGAGAAATTATTTAAATATAAACAACTTTAATAAATCTGTGGCTACATAAGGAAACACAGGTTTCTGGTTGTTCATTCTGTATTATACATGTGAAATCACTCTGACTTTGTTATTCAAATGTTTCTAGTATTTCATAATCCTTTATTTACCTCAACTTCTAGCTGGGCAGAAATACTCAAAAGGTTCCGAAAAAAATAGGCAAAATGTTAATTGAAAAGAACTTTGTCTTTTTTTCTTTGTTTTGAGTTTTATACTTTGGAAGTTTTGCCTAGCTCTGATGTGGTAAATGTACTTTGGGAGTCAACATGCATCGATTACTTCTTGCACTTGCATCTGCAGCACATATATGAACATAGATCAACATTTCTGAAATAACCACTTACAGAGAGCTGTAGAGACTGAACCTGTATCTAAGAATTACCTAAATACTTGCATACTATATGCCCTTCATGGGTAATGCTAGGCCTACTTAAGGAAACATGATATTTTGATATGTTAATGTGTGTAGACATCTTCATTATAGGTGAATCCCAAACATTCATAAAAGTAGATTTTGACACTCAGCATGGCTGGAGAGGGCAAATGTGAATAAAATGAAGCGTTTAAGAGACTACCAGTGCTCTTAACTGCTGAGCCCTCTCTCCAGCCCAGTTCTGTTCTTTATGGCAAGTAATATTCTCTTCAAGACTTCAGTTATCCTTGCAGGATGGTCTTGTCTGGGTTCTCTGAGGAGAGTGTTCATAGAGTACAGGAAGAGGTTCAGTATAAGATATCCATGGGTATTTATATAACTGATTATGTTTCATTGTATGCTCTTCTTAATTGCTTAAATGATTGTAGTGTGCTCTTTGAAATTTTATTTTAAAGCCCAGTTTCAGTGAATTCCATCTTCAAATATTAATTTGTACTGTCCAGGGATCCTGTGTTCAATATGACCAAGAAAGAGTTGAGTGTGGGCGCCATGTTATTTTTGTAATTCATCAGTGTAGTCCTTGGTATCAATGCTCCTAGTTAGTAGAAAGCACACTGTGTTTTTTCATGTTTTATATTATAAAATCAGTGCTACTCCTGTTATTATTAAATTTTTCCTTAGATAAGATGAATGAACACCAAAAAAGTTCAAATATTTTGCTCAGAGTTTTGCCATAAACCAATGACAAGTTGGGAGTAAAATTTATGAGCCTCCTTGGATCAGACTGGAGTTCCTGAGTTCTGCCTGAGCTCTTGTCATTACTCTGTGGAACATGGAAAATTGTCAAGGATGTTTTCAAGCGAAATAACTCTTACACTGAAGGCGATTGAAGAAAGAGGACATCTGTGTTCCCTATTTGACCTGAGTACTGTTTCAAAGCAGGAACAATCTTGAGTAGATGGTCCCATCTCTGAATTCAGTTTCCTAGGCTCTCCAGATAATCTCAGTTCTCGTGTCATCATGGGATGCAAATGGGAGGTGGGGGACAATGACAGTAATAACCTAAGAGCCACGAGCATGCATTGACTGCTTCATGCCTTACATTGTGCCTTTTCAGAGTGCAAATTCACCTGCACCAGCGGTAAATGCTTGTATCTTGGTTCACTGGTCTGTAACCAACAGAATGACTGTGGGGACAACAGTGATGAAGAAAACTGTCTCCTGGTGACTGAGCATCCACCGCCAGGCATCTTCAACTGTAAGTCCCTCTGACTCACCTTGGTGATATTGTATCTGATGGTGTTTTTGAAGCAGATGGGAGGTGGGATCATTGGGAAGTGGAAAGGGTCTTTTCTGGTTTAAGGAAAGGGGCTTGCATTTTTATAAAGGAAATGCTTTGTTCTTCTAGGATAGAAAGGAGGCGTAGATGAAGACAGAGAAATCAGTGTGCTCTCATAGATGGTCCCTGACACTGTGCTTTGTAATAGGTCTTTGCTGCTGATCTGAGGAGCCCTGATTAATTCTAAGAAATAATATTTTTTATTCTTCACACAAGTTTTATAGAATTTTTTGAGTGCACAACTTCAGAAATAATTTTAGATAAGTGAAGACAGGTCCATTATTAACCCAGAAAATAGAAAAACTTAGATTAGACCTTTAAAGGTTCTTGTAGTTCTATTAAGTATTAGATAGAAATAAATTTTGCATGACATCTTTACATATATGAATCTCCAAAGTTGAGACTTTGAACATTTCTTGAACTTGAAAAGATGAAATCAGAACTTGAAATTCATTGGTTTGTTTGAGCTCATTGTTTTTATGACAAAGAGAAAGAATGAAGCTTTTAATACTACTGAGTTCTTAGAAAAAGTAGATTATTTTCTATTTTTCCTTGAGCCAAGTGAAGTGGGTTGAGGATGAGACTATTTTTGCAGCAGCACACCTCAGTACTGTGTTTGGATAAGCGTTCCTCAAAGGTCCACATTTAATATTAAAGGCTTGGTCCCTAACCCTGGATACTATTGTGAGGTGCTAGAATTTTACATCTGGGGCCTCTTTTGAGCTAGTTTGGTCATAACAGGACTTGCCTTTTGCAGGAGATATTGGGACCCTGACTCTCCTCTTCCTTCTGTTGTTGTTATTGGTTTTTGGTGTTTTTGTTTTTTTGCTTTTGGAGACAGGGTCTCCCTGTAGCCCTAGCTAGCCTGGAATTCCTGCTTCTGTCTTGAAGGAACAAAGTGACTGTTCTACTATTTGAATATGAGAGTGGATAATTTGAATAATGAGAGTGAAGTGGTATCTTCTGGATATCCATATGAACTAGACTAAATTTTCATCTATATCCTGGCTCCCGGTGTGCACCAGTGCTCAGATGTCTTGGCTATCTGTTTGTTATTTGATAAATTTTAGCATGAAAGGTTAGAAAGAGAATCCTACTGTTATTCATAAAGTCAGCAATACAAACAGCCCTTATACAGCTTTGCCCTTCAGAAAGTATCTTGGAACCTAGATCTAGGTATATCTGGTTTCATCTGCCTCTGTACCAGCTAACCATGGTCAGATACGCATTGACTGAGGCTAGTTTACTTTACTGTGAGACTAGTTTACTTTACTGAGGTTAGTCTATGTTACTGTGTTTTGCACAGATGTGGAAGTTTGATTAGCATTGATTTTTCTCATGGAGTTTCCACAAGCATCTTTCTGTGGAAGAGAGAATATGCTGACAGTCTAATTCCCAGCTCTTCTCATATCTTTTCTTTGGCTGCTCTATCAAAATATTATACTCCTGAGCACTAAACATAAAAATAAGATTATTTATTACGTGCCTTCCCTGATCACTCTACTAGCCATTATGGGAGAATAAGGAAATGGATCCTGTTACCAGTCAGGGAATGTGAACATGGAGAGACAACGGTAACTGAAAGTGGGTCTAGAGGAATGAGTGGGCCCAGCGGTGTGTGGTTTAGGAGTTAGAATCGTTCTACTTGCACTCGTCATCATGGTGACTTCAAGGAGGATGCATCCCTGATGGTTAGGGAAGGAGACTGTCAGGACTTCGCCCAGCAAAAACGTGGAAAAAACAAACAACAAACAAACAAACAAAACACATGTGAAGGTGGCAATGAAGGTATTGCCATTCTGAACACAAGCAAGACAGCTTGACTTGACATGGTGGGACCACTGTGGCTGGGACAGCATGAGACAGAACTGGAAACTGGGCAGAGCCCAGGGAGGAGCCAGCATACTTATGGTCCACTGTGCTCCATGGTCCACTGTGCTCCATGCTTTGCTGTGCCCCATGATCCACTGTGTCCCATGGTGTGCTGTGCCCCATGATCCACTGTGTCCCATGGTGTACTGTGCCCTATAGTTTGTTGTGCTCTGTGGTCTGCAATGCTTGACACTGGCTGTCATTGATGCACCCAGGCTTTCCTCAGCAAACATACCATCCTGCCCAACTACAAGTTTCCAGCTATACTGTACTGTCAGAGCCCCCTCACCGCAGCTCAGTGGGAAGCGCTGAGCTCCTAAGGCCTCCTACAAGTTGTAGCCTATACAATTTGGAAAGAGCTGTGTATACTCAAAGTCTTGGCAAGAACAGATGTTCCCTAAGCAATCACTACTAAAGAATCTGTGCCACCGGACCTTACAAGGAAGCCCAGAGTTGAAAAGTACCAGTTGTCAACAGAATGACTTTTCATTTTCAGCTTCAGTGGAATTTCCAATTAACTAAAAGGATCTGATTCAGGGAAAGTGGGGAGTGGAGCTGCTCCCATCCTCACCCATGGCGGAAGCAGCTTCTTTCCTTCTAGGTGGCCTCATAAAACAGAGTCACAGCCAAACAAAGAAGAAGCTAACAAAGCATATCCAATTAAGCCCACATTTTAACTCTGAAACTTTTTCAGCAAGAAACTTTTTCCCCTCAAGGCCAGTTAGAATATTAACAACACATGAGATAAAATCTAAGCTCTTTGCTTTGCTTCTTCCAGCCAGCTTTTCTCACATTTTCAGTTATGTTTTCTTGTAAGGACTGGTACCCTACCTGCTACGAAGTTTTAGGCACCAAGCGGAGACTACTATGTACTATACCTTAAACTGGCGATTTCTCATCTTCCAAGTATTTTTGTTTATGAGAACTCTGGACCATGTAGAAAACCTATCATGACCAAGCTTCCAGTTGCTCGACCTTTATTTTTTCCTATAATGATTGCAGTAAGCCTTAAAAATAGCTCTCCAGTAACATCAAATATTAGAATGCACACAGTTTTCCAGTTCTCTTATAAATGTGAGTGGGTTTTGCTTTTCTTTATTAGTTTTTAAAATTAGCGTACAAGGTAAAGGGCTTCAGTAAGGCATTTTCATATAAACTTCATGTTTGTTCATTCTTGGCCCCCACTCGCTGTCTCCCTCCTGCTGGTTCTTTCCCTTCTCCAGTGGCTCCTCTTCAACTTTCAAATACGTGTTTTCATGTTCTGCATACAGTTTGTTTGAACAAGAGTCCAAGTTCGAAAGCACTGTGATGAATTTGTATGTTTCCCAAGAGCTTTCTTAGTCTTAGTCTTCTTAGCCTCCTTTTCCTTCCTCTTCCTTATCCTACATCCTGTTGTGACTTTTGGTGGTCTAAATTACTTGTTTTGTAGAATTTCCAAACTGGATTTTTCTGACTGTTTTCCCATGCTCTAAGTGACTATGAACATTTGTTGCTTGTAATTCCTGTTTCTTGGTAGGTAGATTGAGCGATCTGGAGAGATTCTGTTGTGAATGTTGTATACATATGGGTATGCATAAGGTGCAGTCGTCTCCCCTCAGCAGGCATGGTGTATCTGTCTAATTCTTTCCTTTCCTCTATTAATTAGTGGGGATCACCCTGATGTATATATCACATAGGGTGAATTAACTTAAATATGAGCAGTTTCCCCATTTTTTCAGAGGTAATCAATAAGGTTTTCTTTATGTTGCTATGAATTGAGCAGTTAAAACAAATTTGATGCATACTCTGAACTTTTGTAGAAGCCCATTCTGCTCCTCTAGGGTATCCAGCTCCCAAGTCTCATCCCATTCTAGCCTCCCTATTCTAGCACCCTAGGGTGCCATGTGCTCACCCCCTCATACCTGCCCTACAACTTCACAAGTTTATGTTATTAATTTCTGCCTTCCAGTTCCTTCCTTGCTTGCCTACCTGTGGCTTCCTGGTGTTTTCTTTTTTAATTTTTTAAAATTTATTATTTTTATTTTATGTGTATGAGTGTATTGCCTGCATGTATGTAAGTGCACCTGTGTCATGCAGTGCCCACAGAGGTCAGAAGAGGATGTTGGATTCCTTGGAACTGGAGTTACAGACAGTTGTTAGCTGCCTTGTGGGTGCTGGGACTCAAACCCAGGTCCCCTGCAAGACCGCCAGTGCTCTTTGTTGAGCCATCTCTCTAGCCCCCTCAAGTGTTTTCTTCTGTTCATTCTGAGCTCACTGCCTTCTGCTGAGCCCACCTGGCAGACCCTGTACTCTGCTTTCTAGTTCTTTCCCAGAGACCTATGGCTGCCCCTTGGCACCTTATTGTGGGTGGGCTGGGCCTTCCCTCTATCCAGCATGGGCCTCCAGCACCTTTCCAGTTTCCCAGTCAGAACCCTTTCGTGTTTTCATTGCTTATCTTGACTCCCAGATGCCTCTCCCTGCCTGGATTTCTTCCTCTGTGGCCACAGCTCTCTAGTAGTTGCTTTTGCTGGAAATACTTGTTCACTGCCAAACCCAGTGGACATTTTTTTCTTGTTTCTTTTCTTTTTTGACCAATCTTCTCTCCACAGTTGATAGGATTGTTTAGTCCGTTTACGACCGTGCTACTTGACATCACAGGATCAGGCCCTGGCTGATCTTTTGGCCAGCCTCAGCTACTTCATCATGTGGCAGTTCCTCTGCTCTCCAGCTGCCAAAACTTGCCTGCCTCACAAGTATCCCATTCTGCCGTTGGCTTCTCTAGACACCACATAGTCATAGTCATTCCCCTTTCCTTTCTACAGCCTAGACTGATATATGCAGCTGCTTGTCAGGTCTCTTTAGGAGACTCTCAGATTCTGTGCACCCAGCACTGACCTGCTGCTCATTTCTCCTCCTCCTAGACCAGCTCCTGTATTGCTGCTGCCAATCTTACTGTTTTGATTCCACCAGTTAGGTCAAGTGGGTCATCCTTCCTGATTCTACCCCATAACCAGAAATATAGTCTCCTACTTGGATCCTGTAGCACTTTGTGCCCTTAAGGCAGTGTC